CACACACACACACACACACACACACACACACACACACCACGGCAGTGAGTGATATGGTGCTTGGTCATCAGGATCCCCAAAAGCAAAACCAGAGGGAACATCAAAGGCTCCCCATACCAGTAGGTGAAGAGTGGGGCTACTGGCAGAAATCATGCTTTCTTCTTTGATCTGTCATTCAGGCACAAAATTGTCTGTGGTTGTATTGCAGAACACCTTTCATCATCAGTCCAGTTACAGCACCAACCCAAGTTCAATTGTCTCTGCTCTGGAATTTATGGCAGCAAACATAAGGGACAGCAGCTCCGTAATATGCCTGACACCAGGAGTTGAGACATGAATGGGTGCTGTAAAGAGTCCAATATCTGTTTGTTTCTCCATCCACTGGTTTCTCCATCCACTGGTTCCACCATCCATTGACGCTACCATCCATTGCTTCTATTATCCACTGGTTCTACCATCCATTGGTTCTATTACCCACTGGTTCTACCATCCACTGTTTCCAACACCGACTGGTTCCACCATCCACCCGTTTTTACAGCCACTGGTTCCACCATCCACTGGTTTTAACATCCACTGATGCTATCATCTATTGGTTCTATTATCCATTGGTTCCACCATTCACTGGTTTTAACATCCATTGGTTCTACCATCCATCAGTTCTACCATCCACTGACGCTGACATCCATTGGTTCTATTTTCTACTGGTTCAACCATCCACTGTTTCCAACACCCACTGGTTCCACCATCCACTGGTTTTAACATCCACGGGTTCTACCATCCACTGGTGCTACCATCTATTGGTTCTATTATCCACTGGTTTTAACACCAACCAGTTCTACTATCCATTGGTTCTATTATCCACTGGTCTACCATCCACTGGTTTCAACACCTACTGGTTCTACCATCCACTGGTTTTAACAGCCACCGGTTCCACCATTAAAGGTTCGTTGTTAATGTATCAACTTTCTAGACCACTTGGGTCTTCTGGTTCAAGTCCACTCCACATCCCCAGAATCAACACTAAGCATAGAGAGGCAGTATTTAGTTTTTATGCTCCTCTAATCTGGAACAAACTCCCAGAAAACTGTAAGAATTATAGATCCCTGAGTTCTTTTAAATCAGTGTTTAAAACCTATGTATTTGGAGTTGACTTCAACTGTTCTGTTTAAAATATGAACATCATTCATTTCAGTCTGCAGTCCAAATTTTAGTTATCTTTATTGTGTCACTGTAATGTACTTGTTTTTATCATGTAAAGCACTTTGAATAGTCTTGATCCTGAAACGTGTCATAGAAATAAACTTGCCTAGTTGCTAAAGAGCAGCTATTCCTGAACAATTTTTCTCAAACTGGTTAAATGTATTGTTTCTGAAAGAGGACACAGTTATCAGGGAACATGGTTGACATAATGGTCTGCAACAATGTTGACATCTGAATAACAAACAAGCACATTTTCCAAAATGCCAGTCTGAATTTTCTCCTAATACATAGAGGAAATTTCGTCTCAGCTCTGCAACACAAAAAAGAGCAATCTGTGACTTCAGGGGACCCATTCACATCTGGCTGAAAGCATGCTTGCCTGAATCAGATCCATCTTTATTCATTACTGAACACTTCCACACTTACTGGCAGGAGGCACAGATCTAAAAGAGGAAACGGGTGGAAAAACTCATAAGGAGAACTAAGACTGGAGAAAACAAGCTTAGAGAGAGAGAGCTCTTCATATAAATGKCTCAGTTGCTTAAGAGGGTGACAAGTAGAAGATTAATCAGTGTGTTGCTAAAGATGAACTAGAAGGCCTGATATTATCAGTCCAGTTACAGCAGACGTGTCAGACGCAGACATTCACAGAATAGTAAATTTTTATGTGTTAGACGAAGACAGACTGTTAAACTATACCATAAGGAGACACTTGTTTGTGAATGTCTGCTTTAAAAATGTCAAGTTTAAGCTTAGTTATCAGATTTAATTTGGTCTTCTGTGGAACTCTAGTTCTCCAAACTCAGACCTTTAAAAGTGCTTCTACAACAGGTAAGATATTCACTGTTTAACATTCCACAGAACTCCTTCAAAAGATCTGAAGTATTGCCATGTCGTGTTTTTGTTTCTTTTGTTGTTGTTGTTACCAGAAATGTCCGTTTTTGAACAAAAGAGGGAAGCTCTCATACCTGAAAACTGATTGGACAAATGTGTTTCAAGACATTTTCTGATTGGCACATTAATTCAATTTTTTTTTCAATACAAAAAAATTCTGGGTTCTGGATTCTTCTGGATGTTTTTTTTTTTTAATTTTATGGTTTGTTTTGATTAATTGGTTTATGATTTCCTAGAGTTTTTTGTCCTTCTGTTCAGCTCCTGGTAAAGTTAGGTGATTGTCAGCTGATCCTCCTCTGAGGCTCTTCCTACGGCAATTACTTTTATGATTCTGTTGTTCCTTTCCCAGTTTTTTGTGGTTAATATGAGGTGGGAATGCTCTGTTCATTTCGTGCTCAAAACACCATGAAGATAAATAGGGTTGAGGTGTTCTGTTTTCCCGTCTGGGTGATGTCAGGTCCGGGAGTTGATGAGTGATGTCTGTACATCTGGTTGATGACAGAGGGACTTAGCTTTAGGCCTTTAGCTTTAACGTTGGTTTTAGCATAGGTGTAACAAGTGGAGTAGGTGCTATTTCTTTAGTTTAATTTATTTAGACTTAGCTTTTGTTAGTTATTTTTGTTTAAAAAAATTTTTCTCTTTTTCATTGCACAAGCCAGCTCATGCCAGTAA